ATGCAGTGGTTTCATATTAAAAACAAAAAATCACATGCTTTTAGGTAAGTAAACCCAGCATGAAATGCTGTGGGATCTGTAGGATGGGGTCTTCTAGACACAAGGAGTGTTAAATTCCTTAAGGAATTCCCTGAGGGCTCCCTGGAAGAAATTACGTAGTTATCTATGCAAGGAGTCTTAATTCATTCCTACAATCTCTCAGAAGTGTAGAGATATGAGTCAGAATCTAGAACTGAGGAGAAAAGAGGGCTCTCCACTCGTGCCTAATCCACCTTCTCAAAACATCATTTGTGTGGCGACCTACACAGACAGAAATAAAAAAAGGAATTTAAAGTCCCAGGGCTATAGCAGATTCCCACAGAATCCCACACCAAACCTCTTGGGCTCCAGGTAACTCTGCCTTCTCCTATGCCTACCTCCTTTGAAATTTTGTTCTAGAAGAAAAGCCAGGCTAGGACACTCAAGACTTGCAGATGAGAGCAGAGTGCCCCCATCCTCAAATGGCTTGGGGGAGGGGGGGGCTCTCCCTCCTCCTCCTCCCACAACCTCTAGACTCTGCTATGTCTGTGGAACAGATGCCTGGTTCAAGCCGCTCCGCTGCTCCTTGACGACTTCTGTCATGGTGTATACAGTCTATACACTTGGCGGACACAAGCGGCTATTCTCACAACTGTGGGTGCCATCATCTCACAATTGGAAAAACCCCAAAGAATACACAGGTGGTAGGATTTTCCTGGGAAGTTCAAAGAGGGAAACATCTGAATCTACCTGCCCAGAGGCCAGACCAGAAGTGGGGCTGGGGTGGGGGGTGGGGAGTCAACTGCCTTCCCAATAGAAAACACAGGTGACAACCAGCCTGAACAAGGGTTGCTTTTTCCTTTTTATTAGTGTGTGGAGGGGTGGTGTGTGTGTGTGTGTGTGTGTGTGTGTGTGTGTGTGTGTGTGTGTGTGTGCTGACTTACACATGCCTCCACACATATGTGGAAATCAAAGGGCAACTTTTGGGAGTCAGTTTCTCCTTTCACTGTGGTTTTTGGGGATCAAACTGAGATCATCAAATGTGTGTGGCAAATGCTTGCATCCACTGAGCCCAAGCATGCTTCTCCTCAGAGTTTCTTCTTGGCTCATTCCCGGCCATCTCTCTGGAAGGTAGAAACCAGGAACCCTGTGCCCCATAAAGCAGGAACTTAGAGTAGGTTCACACTTGCGTAGCAATTCAGTGAACATTGCCGGCAAGGGAATGCTTAACATTATTCCCCACAGCTCACGACTGGGGCTAAAATATTCAATATGATATGAAAAAGTGTACGGCGTTGAGAGCTGAAAGTATGAAAATAAGATTTCTTGCCAGCAGTCCACGTTCTGCTCAGAGAGCAATAGAGTTTATGGCTGATTCTTAAAGAAAGATCAAATCAACACTAACAAACTGGGATCTTAGAAAACACTAGCTCAAAGTACGCTGTGCATACACATATAGTGTTAGGCCCCAAGTATAATATTTCCCCAGAAAGTTTATTTTTATGACATCTCAAACCTCATTCAGAACTACCTGCACTCATCAAGTCAGACACCAGGAATGAACAGTTCTGGGAGTAAAGTCATCCCCCACCCAGAGCAAGGACAGTGCAAATGCTGAGTCCCCAAGATGGCATCCAGATGTCCTCTCCCAGCCAGCCGTCCAGGCTCCACTCCCTCTGGCAGCTGTGCTCTGCATCCTTACCCACCACTCTCCACCCACCCTCTGCTCCGAGGAGACTGCATTTCCTCTCTCCTCTCCACCTCACGTGCCCAGCCAGGACTCTCGGATCCTTGTGGCCCAAGTCAGCTCCAACAATAACAACTGACCATACTCTCCCTTCTACATGCTGAATTCCTTCCTAGCTCCAAGGTTTGGCTCAAGTTACAGGCCTTTCAAGTGTGGGACATTTCTTCTACAATATTCCAGAAAAGGGTGCCATCGTCACCCTCTTTCCATCTCCGCCACTCTCTCGAGT